TCATGTCTCTTTGGTACATACAGTTCATTGTCATACCTGTTGTGCACATAAGGGTTGATGTACTAAAACTGGATAGTGTAAAATCTGGTGCATCTGTGCATGGTAGCCAATCAGCTTCTACCTTCTGCTTGTTCAATTAAGCTTTGACAATAAAACCTGGAAGCTGATTTCTATTGTTTATATGTAGAACTGCACCAGATTTTGCACTCTCCAGTTTTAGTAATTCAACCCCATTGTGTTTTCTTCACTGTTATGAAAAATTAATTCTAAAAAGTATTACATCCCAAAAACATATTGGAGTTCTAGAAACCAGGGTAACTACATTATAATAAATACAGGCAAGCAGAAGGACTCCCAGCATTTTTAGGATTGACTCTCTTCAAAGATTGAGCTCTCTGGAAAATACAGCTGCCAGCATGCCTCAGACCTTCATGTGAGCTGGCTGTATCGTACTAAATCATCCCTGGAGGGGACCCTGCTGCTTCTTCCATTAACCTGTGAAAGGGATATCATCCTCAAAGGGGGGACCAAACCGTGGAAGGTGACTTTTGTCTTTTAACAGACATTTTGGCCCTTTTGGGTCGCTTCAAGGAGGTGAGGGGGCAATTCAGCCGTTTATGGATTATTTCCTATTGGTTGTCATGCATATTCACTTTATCACCTGCACTTTCTGAAGTCGTTGGAATATTTGGCGTTTATGCACCTTTGAGCTTTTTTCTTTGGACTTATTTCATGCGACATTTAAAAAAGTTTTTTTGGTTAATCATTTCTGGTGATATCATTTTTATGACGTATATTTATTTTTTATCATATTTTTGTCATTCAATCTCTGCATTTGTCACTACTGTGTGATATGAATCCCATATTTAGGGATTCACAGAGTTTTTACCTATTTTTCACTTTTATTTGGCAAATTTATAGCCTCTGTGGTCACTATTATTGTCAGAGTAATAATTGATCCCACATTTAGGGATCCACCATTTTTTATTTTTATTATATTTATCAGTATCTTTCACTTTATTGCAGTCCCCATTAGGACTTTGTTTTATCTCTTTCACTGGCATTTCTTTTTATTTTCAACATTTATTCACTTTTGCGTCTCACTATGGATCCCCTAGTGGATCAGTTCACTTCATGATTGGTGAGTGAGTGGCATATTTATCCACTGAATGCACTGAGAATAATGATTAGTCACAACTAAGATATGTTTGATATGAGTTATATTGGGTTTTAATACCGTTTTGAATTATTATATTTGGTATTTTGGGTTAAGCTAGTGTATAAGTTACAGCAATATTTAGGGTAGCGCTGCACCAAACTTTTTATAATATTACTTGTTTACCAAGCTTAGTTCCATTTTAAAACATTTAAGTCTATACCTTAAAAATATATGTGATATATTTTATGGGGAGACATTTGCATAAAATGTAATTTATAAATCATTTCCCTGTGTTTTTACTTGCTATCACACAATAGATGGTTTTGATGTTTTTCTTGAAATTTAGGCTACATTCACTAGTTTGCTTCCATCCGGCCTTGTCACAGAAAGTTGGAAACATATTTGTCAACTTCCCACAAAGAGAAATTGCTTTGCATTGCATGATTCAATTTTAACTGCAGGAAATCCCTTGAAGAATCAGTAAATAAGCAACTCAGGAATTAAATTAGCTCCTAGCTACCTTAAGCAAATAACCAGCACATAAAATTGCGTTATCTAACTGACCAGTTGAAGCTGGATTTTTTCCATTTTAAATAAAGAAATTAAAAGGCACAACACATATTACTCTAGGTTTAAATGCACCAGAGAAGATAATATTATCATGAACCTAGCCATGGGTGAAATTTATATAAGCAGTGATTGGAGAAGGACGAGCTTCCAATTCATAAAAAGGTGAATTGATTTAATTATAAATACCTTTTTTAAATATTTAAAATGTAATTATCATTGCACAGCATGAAAAATATTTGCCTTAATATATATTCAAATTTGCATTGACATGACTTGCTAATATATTTGAATACACCATATTTTTAACAATGCATTTATTAAATGATTAATTAAATAAATATCTAGCATTTATACACATGTTAAATTTTAATAATAATTAATAGAGTAAATAGAGTAAATAAACTGATACACACTCTCCATGGTATTTTGGTGCACCCATTGTTCACATGAATGTTGCAGTAGATAGTTAAAAAGCTAAGCTATGTAACAAATATATCTGACATGTAAGTATACTAACCTACTGTCACAGTACCTTAACCAGCATGCCTGCTGTGCAGTGACTGCACAAAAAAGAGGTATCTTAAGCCCACATGGTGTTATAGTAAATCTTCTTGAAAGTATATATAAAGATTAGTATCAGGCTAAGAGGCTCTCTCTGACCCTCCAGAATAGAGTGGATCAATATTCTGCAATGTAAGAAACCTTAAGCATACCTGTATATTTATAGTCTATACTGTATATATGAGTAGGAAGCTGCAACCGTTTTAATGGGACACTGTCATTTGATTGCTGAAAAAGCCAGCACAGACTGTGAAAGATGATAAAAATAAGCAGACCTAGGGACCTGTATATACTGCAATCTCTGAGACTGCCTTTGAGTTGCTTTGTATTTCTTCAGCTTAACGCCTTTAAAGCTATCTCCTCCACCAAAATTTCACTGCTTCTCATTGTCACTTTATTATTACAGTGAAAACCATTTGGTTAATTCATCTTGCTTAATAAAAAAAGTGAATAGAAAAAGAGAAAACATTTTATTTCTTTCATATTCTTGCTTTTTTTATTAGCTCTGTCTATGTGCAATCCTTTATTTCTAATAGTGGTAAACTAAAGAAGGAACCTTCTTGTAGTTGGTGAGTGAATACATTTTAGGAAGAATTTTTTTGTATATACTGTATGAACAACATTAGCTTAGAAATAACTCAATTCTTTGAGAACACATGGGTGTAATTCACCTGGTCCAGGTGTTTTATTTTGTCTTGAGGCAGGGGTGGACTGACCATTTGGAAACTTGGGCACTGCCCGAGGGCCCGTAGTCAGTAGGGGGCCCCATAAGATGCCCTTGGTACCTTTTTCATAGGCTTTTTTGAGTTTGGGCAAGGACACAGGGGCCCCATGATCCCCTATTGCCCAGGGGCCCCATAAGTTGTCAGTCTGCCCCTGTCTTGAGGCAGCACTTTTGGTTCACATGAATGCACTTGGTTTTGCCATGTAATTAGACTAGCTTTATTCTCTATTAACAAGTTTATTTCTCCTCAGCTAAAAAAAAAAAGTGATTTTGGATTTGAAAATAGGGATCTTTCAATGTCTTGCAAGATATAGGAGACAGTATAAAAAATGTTATGCTTTAATACATTATTACTATAATATTATTTTTTTAGTATCAAAGAAATATACAAGCGAGAGCATACATATAAAAAGTAAATATAAAACAATTATTCCAGGTAGCTGATAGCATAGGCAACAGTCCCAATTGATGTTTAAAAAATATCTGAAAGTGCAGCGCTGTGATGAATATAGATATGGCAATATATTCAAATAATAAAATAATAAGTGCACAATATATAAAGTGCTATTCGTGCAATATGTGCAATAAGTGAAATAAATCAATAAATGTCCATATTATTCATTCTGATTTCAATAAATAAATAAAAAATAAATAAATAAATGAATAAATAAATAAAAAGGATAATTCAACTGTTGAATTATCCTTTTTATTTATTTACTGAAATCAGAATGAATAATATGGACATTTATTGATTTATTTCACTTATTGCACAAGGAATAGCGCTTTATATATTGTGCACTTATTATTTTATTATTTTAATATATTGCCATATCTATATTCATCACAGCTCTGCACTTTCAGATATTATTTTTAGTATATATACAGGATTAGACTGGGGTACAGACTGGAGTTTAGGATAAAACTTTTTCTGTAGACTCTGATAGAGGTACTTTATATTTCAGGTCAGAAAGACATCTGAATAATAGTATTAGTATAGCAAAAAGGCAATAAATGTGGACTGTCTTATTAAGTCACATCAAAACATCAATATCAAAAGGCAAAGAGGAAGAAAAACATTCACATTTTTCTGGATAGTAATAAGTCATATATCACTTAATAGAACAATAATTTTTTACTTTCCACAATAATGAAATCACTGCTACTACAATTTATTTGTACACCAATACATTGAAAGTTTTAGTGCAGCTGTGGAGAATCCATTCCACTGAGCAAAGAAATAGAAGTTATCTAACTGTCAAGTGAAGATATATGAGCTTGGCCATGCTTCCAATGCTGTGGGAGCTTTCTTTAAACAACAAAACAAAAAGATGCCAAGTTTGCCCCTAGCCTGCTGTGGGTGATAGAATAAAAAAGGCTCCATTTATTTCATGCAGTAAACAAGTAGCGTTAACCCAGAATAACAGTTTTCTTTCCTGGGGGCTTAGAGAGTTTATTAGAAAGAGTTTTAGTAGCTTATACTAGTTCAGAAGACATTTGTTTATTAAATCTGACAGCATGTAAAGGCCATTTAATGTGTCCATTGTCAAGTCATTTATAACTAGGAAACAGCTATTGCCTAATGCAGTAGAGAAGAAGCATGTGATCCTCTCTTTGTTGTAAAAACAGAGAGTAAAGGTTGATCCAGCAAATGACTTGCAGCTGAGGTTTCTTTAAATCCTCATCCCTGTAATCTGATAGACATCTTCTGTAGATGACTCTTCTATTCCTCCAACTCCAAACCAGCACCCAACAAATGCCAACTCAATAGGATTGTAATTAGAGATGAGCGAATTATTCAAAAATTCGATTCGGCTGATTCGCCGAATTTGCGGAATAAATTTGATTCTATGCGAATTTATTCGCTGCGAATTTAACTTATTAAAAGGGTTTCTAGGCTTCAGAGAGCCTTTATATTAGTGCAGAACACTGTACCTTTAATTTAAATGCCCTTGGAGTCTGCTGGGGAAGAGAAATAATACTGTCAGTCAGTATGACATGCAGATGAGTGCCGTCGATCTTGGAATCACCGCACACTTCACTCATTTGGGCAGTCACGGGCCAAAACCAGAGTGTGGAGCCACAGTGTGGCGGTGGAGGCAGCAGCAATGGGAGGCCATACAGCACCCTATGACAAAATGGAACCCACCAGCAGTGTGAGGAGACCTGAAAGTGGCACATGGCAGAGTGTGGCGATGGAGACAGCAGCAATGGGAGGCCGTACAGGGACCCATGACACACTCTGGACCTGGCAGCAGCATGAGGAGTCGGTACGGGGGCCCATGGCAGATTACGGGCCTGGCAGCAGCATGAGGAGGCGGTACAGGGGCCATGGCAGAGTGGCGAAGCATAAGCAGCTTAAATTGAAGGCCATACAGAGGCCTATGTTAAAAAGTCCCCCCAGCAGCAGTGTGGGGAGACGACTATCAAGAGTCCAATGGCAGAGTGGCGGAGCAGAAGCAGCTTCAATTGAAGAAGAAGAGGATGAGGATGAAGAAGAAGAAGAGGATGAGGATGAAGAAGAAGAAGAAGATGAGGATGAAGAAGAAGAAGAAGAGGATGAAGAAGAAGAAGAAGAAGAGGATGATGAAGAAGAAGAAGAGGATGAGGATGAAGAAGAAGAAGAAGAAGAGGATGAGGATGAAGAAGAAGAAGAAGAAGAAGAAGAAGAGGATGAGGATGAAGAAGAAGAAGATGAGGATGAAGAAGAAGAAGAATGAAGAAGAAGAAGAAGAAGAATGATGAAGAAGAAGAAGAAGAAGAAGAAGAAGAGGATGAGGAATGAGGAAGAAGAAGAAGAAGAGGATGAGGAAGAAGAAGAAGAAGAAGAAGAAGAAGAGAGAGAGGAAGAAGAAGAAGAAGAGAAGAAGAAGAAGAAGATGAGGATGAGAAGAAGAAGAAGAGAAGAAGAAGAAGAAGAAGAAGAGGATGAAGAAGAAGAAGAAGAAGAAGAAGAAGAGGATGAGGATGAAGAAGAAGAAGAAGAAGAAGAGATGAGGAAGAAGAAGAAGAGGAAGAAGAAGAAGAAGAAGAAGAGATGAGGATGAGGAAGAAGAAGAGGATGAGGATGAAGAAGAAGAAGAAGAAGAAGAGAAGAGATGAGGATGACGAAGAAGATGAGGATGAAAGAAGAAGAAGAAGAAGAGGATGAGGATGAAGAAGAAGAAGAAGAGGATGAGGATGAAGAAGAAGAAGAAGAAGAGAGATGAGGATGAAGAAGAAGAAAAGAAGATGAGGATGAAGAAGAAGAAGAGGAGGATGAGGATGAGGAAGAAGAAGAAAGAAGAAGAAGAATGAGGATGAAGAAAGAAGAAGAGGATGAGGATGAAGAAGAAGAAGAAGAAGAGGATGAGGATGAAGAAGAAGAAGAAGAAGAGGATGAGGATGAAGAAGAAGAAGAAGAAGAAGGATGAGGATGATGAAGAAGAAGAAGATGAGGAAGAGAAGAAGAGGATGAAGAAGAAGAAGATGAGGATGAAGAAGAAGAAGAAGGATGAGGATGAGGATGAAGAAGAAGAGGATGAGAAGAAGAAGAAGATGAGGATGAGGATGAGGATGAAGAAGAAGAAGAAGAAGAAGAGGATGAGGATGAAGAAGAAGAAGAAGAAGAAGAAGAAGAAGAGGATGAGGATGAAGAAGAAGAATGAGGATGAGAAGAAGAAGAAGAAGAGGATGAGGATGAAGAAGAAGAAGATGAGGATGAAGAAGAAGAAGAGGAGGATGAGGATGAGGAAGAAGAAGAAGAAGATGAGGATGAAGAAGAAGAAGAAGATGAGGATGAAGAAGAAGAAGAGGATGAGGATGAAGAAGAAGAAGATGAAGAAGAAGAAGAAGAGGATGAGGATGAAGAAGAAGAAGAGGATGAAGAAGAAGAGGATGAGGATGAAGAAGAAGAAGAAGATGAGGAGAAGAAGAAGAAGAAGAAGAAGATGGATGAAGAAGAAGAAGAGGATGAAGAAGAAGAAGAAGAAGAAGAAGATGAGGATGAAGAAGAAGAAGAGAATGAGGATGAGGAAGAAGAGGATGAGAAGAAGAAGAAGAAGAAGAAGAAGAAGAGGATGAGGATGAAGAAGAGGATGAGGATGAAGAAGAGGATGAGGATGAAGAAGAAGAAGAAGAAGAAGAAGAGGATGAGGATGAAGAAGAGATGAGGAAGAAGAAGAGGATGAGGAAGAAGAAGAAGAAGAAGAAGAAGAAGAAGAAGAAGAAGAAGAAGAAGAGGATGATGATGGTGAGGAAGAAGAAGAAGAAGAAGAAGAAGAAGAAGAAGAGGATGATGATGAAGAAGAAGAAGAAGAAGAAGATGAGGATGAGGATGAAGAAGAAGAGAATGAAGATGAAGAAGAGGATGAAGAAGAAGAAGAGGAGGATGAGGAATGAGAAGAGAAGAAGAAGAGGATGAGGATGAGGATGAAGAAGAAGAAGAAGAAGAAGTAGTAGGATGAAAATAAGAAGAATTCCATTCCAGCAAAAAGTGTATCTGCAGAGAGCTCCGCTATTTCTGACAGTTCTCTGACAGTTCCTTCACATTTACAGCGGTTGAAACATTGTATCTATTTGTTTCCGAATAAAAACATCTGTATCCTAAATGGAAACAAATAGATACAATGTTTCAACCGCTGTAAATGTGAAGGAACTGTCAGAGAACTTTCAGAAATAGCGGAGCTCTCTGCAGGGACACTTTTTGCCGGCTGTAGAAGGGATGAAAATTGGCCGATCGGGGAAAATTCGATTCGCGCATCCGAAGTTTGCTAATTTTCGGATTCGGCGCGAATTGAATTTTTCCTAATATTCGAAACGAATTCCACTTCGCCAAGTTCGATTCGCTCATCTCTAATTGTAATCATATCTCACATATCCAGTGTTCAAAAAGCTTATTGGTATCCCCTCTCCTTCCCTACTCACCTCTGCTTCCCTTTTTTTCTGCTTTTCTTTCATTTTACTTATCAATCAATTTAATAGTTAGATATCCAAAAAGTTTTGTACGTATGGTATTATGTGTGTGTTCTGCTCTAAAATCAGTCTAGTACATCAAATCACTCATTATACTATCCCATCCATAAATTTAGATTACTGACATAGAAGGACTTTTGTGATTTTGATTTTAGTGATAGTTTACAAATGTATATGCCAGTAAATATCAGTGATTCTAGGGGGAAGAAAGTTTGACACTGGGTTTTATATTTGTAATCTTTGTTGAAAATAATTTTTTTAATATTTTAATTGTTCTTGAAGATATACTGTGTATGCATTAAAATTTGGGATTGTACACACATTTATGTTCACAGAGTTATGATGCATCTATGACTTTAAGAGAAGTAGGATATTGTAATGTACAAATACCTCTATTCCTTCCTGTTCGTTCTATCTCTATGGTTAAGCTCAATGGTAGGTGGGTGAAATGCATCAGTGGAGGGCTTTGTCTTAAGCATTTGGATGAATAACGCTTTTAAACAATGATAGATATGTAGTGTGTGGCTGCAATACTTTTGAGCTGGTTTCTACCAATGGGGTCCAATGCAACAGAGCACCCGAGGGTTGGGGGCACGAGCCAAAAAAAAAAGAAGTGGTATAAACATTTTAATTAATATCAGCTACCAACAAAATTGTTCTGCTTTTAAAATTAGATGAAATGTATGTGCATGTTCATCATATACAGTATGAAACACCTCAGCTTCAACCACTAAAATGTTTGCAAAAAAGAGACAGGCTGATCATCCCCCTTCTCACCCCACCTTGTTTTTCTCCTTAGAACAATCTTTTCCTAATAGGACAGATAGTCTCACATGGCAATCTATGAAAGGGTAGTCTATCTTCAAAACTTCTTACAGGACAGTATCCTACATGACAATCTCCATCAAAACAGTAGTAACAGCACAATTGTTTACATTCTTTTTCCAGCATGGCAAGTATTTCTAAGGCATTACTTCTCTAACAGAAAAGTCTCTCATGTGGCAGTTTCCAACAATGTTTCTCTGCTGTGAACGTTCAGGGACACATGGACCCCTCATGATATTGATCATGGGTGTCCTTTTATCATGCAGCGGTAAATGACCTACTGTATGCACAGTTCTCCGGCATTCTCGGAGAAGACAGTTCACCTCTGAATGCCTTTTTATGAAGCGATGTAGATCACTTCTCCGAATGAAGGGAGAAGCGATCTACAAACGCTTTCAACTCTGGAAAACAGCTGCTGTTACTATAATCTCGCGAGATTACAGTAAGAGATCAGTCAAACATTGTTTACTAAGCAGCGGTAAATTATCGCTGCTTCGTTTGTGGCTCCTCCAATTCTCCAGCTCTGAGCTGGAGAATCTGGAGGGAGAACACAGATCGCCAGTGAAGGGCTGACATCACTCCTTCATATATTGGCCATCTGTGTGCTGAGATGATCATTGGAGAACATGTTCTGCACTGATCATCTCTGTTTCCTAAACCACTAATGATCTGAAATCAGCAGCGATCCTCAGGATCACCGCTGATCTCTGATTCATAAAAGGACACCATGATTAGGTATAAGTGTCTTAACTTGTGTTAGTCAGTTTTTTTAACCATGGTCTGCCTGTGAACCTAATTTACTCTGTAAACAGAGAAAGTGGAACACGGGACTTTTAGCGCTTCATGTCTGGTCTTCCTAAGCACTCACCCAATGGGGCTTAAGTGGTCACATGGATTTATCTCTGCTCCTTTTGATTTCTGTGACTGTGTGATCCCAGTCTCAACATAGATTTTCTCTACCAGTGCATTCTTAATAAGTCACCTAACTAGGGATATGCCACACCTCATATGTCAAAAATAAGTGATCATCTTGCATAAAGACAGTTCCCAGTTTCTCAACCAAAAGCTGTCCATAGTGGAAAACAAGTCATACAGTGATGCATGCTAAGTTTTCCGTATAACAGCCTTGGGAAGTATTGTGATCTAGAGTGTATAGTAATAGAGACCAGAGAAGCAGAAGGACAATCCTAGACTCTAACCTTAAGCATACTAAGCCACTAAAAGGCTAACTTGGACTTGAAAATGGGTCTCTATTGTAATAGATATCATTATAATTGAATGTACAGTATATGTATAGGATATTCACAGTTATGGAAATGTAACGTATATAAACATACACTCCATGACAAAAGCTATATAGAGAACCTGTGCTTTGCCCATGCAGGCCACAGCTATACCTAAAATATCACTCTTGGTTGAACTGTTCCTTTAACTGTTTGACATCTGCAGACTGTATATTTACATTCTCAGGCACAATTCTCCATTCTGCGAGAACTTCGTTCTGTGCACCAGCTGTGAACTAAGAGCTTGCACCAGTATTTTTTCTTTTTATCAGTTTATAACAAAAAATGTGGAGTATTTATTAAGGCCTGGTTCACATCTATGCGGGTGGCTTCAGGTGTGGGAATTGCAGTGATTCCCGCACCCTCAACCACCCTCATTCACCCTCATTCAAAACACGTTGCTGTTTGTGGGGTTTTCATTT